CACATAACTAATCATAAATCTCCCAGGTTTGTCTGCCTCTTTTATATTATCTGAGAGTGACAGAGGAAAGGTTTCAACGGTAAAGGAAAAACATGTGAAAGATACCGACCTCGGTATGTCTTTGAACTGGCTTGTTGTTCTTTCCCCCAGAATTATGTTCCCCGAGCTAAGAGGGCAAGGTTAATGGGGTGTGAAAGCTTTAAGGTACGAAGGCGCGATTGTCATCCGCTTGTCACCTGTGCTTTGTTAAGGGGTTGCCATTAATACCCAGTTGGGTGTTACTGTTACGCTACTTGGGTGAATTGGATTGGAACTGAACTGCAGCTTGTAAACCTCCCTAATTACATTAGTGAAGATACGGAGTAACTTTAAAGTATCAATACTGTAGCTTTAAGAAAAGAGGGAATTGCTGGTAACTTGATTCAAACAAAGTTTTAATAAGGGTTAAACTTAAATGAATTGCATTTAGGCAATAATCCAATAAGAAGAAGTGCAAGTAATCAGCAACGCAAAGTTCATTAATAAGTATTTCCTCAGAGATGCATTAAGTAACATTCTTTAGGTTAATGAGAATAATCTTCAATAGTAACATTAAGCAAGTAGCTGAGGATATTATTATTATTATGATATTTATAGAGCGCCGTCAAATTCCCCAGCGCTTTACAATGGGTGGACGAACAGACATGTAGTTGTAACCAGACAAGTTGGACACACAGGAACAGATGGGTTGAGGGCCCTGCTCAATGAGCTTACATGCTAGAGGGAGTGGGGTATAGTGACACAAAAAGGTAAGGATAGTATTAGACTAGTGACAGTTGCAGAAGAGGAATCAGTCAGGAGCTATTAACGGTTTAATTGATATGCTTTTATGAAGAAGTGGGTTTTTAATGATTTTTTTGAAGGAGTGGAGATTGGGTGAGCATCTAACGGAGGAGGGAAGCGAGTTCCACAGGAACGGTGCAGCCCTCGAAAAATTTTGAAGGCAAGCATAGTTGCAAAGCAAGAACAGTTCATAGTTAATAAGCATGATGGGAGTTGTCCTCCATATAATTAGTAGCTTGAAGCATTGAGTGTATTTGCAAAGCAAGAAACAGTTCATAGCAAATAAGCATGATGGGAGTTGTCCTCCAAATAATTAGTAGCTTATAGTAGTGAAGATTTGAGTAAACAAGACTTAGTTCATTGTTAAAAGAGATTGTAGCATAAGTTCATTATTAAATACTGTGAGAGCCACGTCAGAGGGGGGCGGGATCCAGCTCCGCACAGCGGAGTGCCGAACCTGGAAGTGTTACCGCATGACAGTTACAGATGTTATGGTGAATATGTCGTAGGTCCTATCTTAAATACAGAAAGGGAGTAGTACCGCTCATTTACCCCTGAACTTTGGGGGAGGAGGGGTGTGTGTACACGTGGTGCCCCATCATACTACTTTTATATGCTAAAATACAAAGATCAATTCCCTTAATGTGGAACATAAAAACATAATAAAGAAATAGAATAATGCCAATTACATCCAAACTCCGGCATGTGAATGCCCAATCAAAAATAGCATATTTACTTGATGATCAGGGGCGAAAAGTGTTTCATCCAACTAAAATTGGTGATATGTTTGCAGAGTATTATAGTAAACTTCATAATTTAGAATGTAATTTGGACCTTCCCCAGCCTTCTACAACAATAATTGATAAATTCTTAGATAGAATGTCATTGCCTCGGCTGTCTCCAGGACATTTAGAAAGCTTAGAATGTGAAATTTCAGCAGTAGAGATAGCTGAGGCAATTAAACTTATGCCATCTGGAAAAGCCCATGATCCCGATGGATTTACTATTTTATATTATAAAACTTTTCCAGAAATTTTAATTCCCCATATGACTAAAATGTTCAATTCCTATAAGTCCGGGGGAAAGATGCCAGAGGACTCCTTGTGCGCACGAATAGTCACTTTGCCAAAGCCGGGAAAAACTCCTGATAGATGCCCTAATTTTAGGCCCATTTCTCTGATTAATAATGATTCAAAGATTTATTCTAAAGTTCTCGCTAATAGATTAACCAAATTAATCCCATTGTTAATTAATAAGGATCAAGTAGGTTTTGTACAGAATAGACAGGCGCCAGACGGAACCAGAAGATTCATAAACTTGATTCAGCACATCAATATGAACAAAACGCCTTCTTTGCTTCTATCTCTAGACGCAGAGAAGGCGTTTGACAGGATACATTGGGGATATTTATGGAGAACATTAGACAGGTTCAACATACCATTATCTTTAACACAGAAATTAAGGCGTTATATTGAGCACCCTCCGCCCATGTCTACGCTTCTGGCTTCACATCCAAAACTTTTTCTCTAACCAACGGGACGAGACAGGGGTGCCCTTTATCTCCAATTTTGTTTGTCTTAGCGATAGAACCCCTGGCAGAACTGATTAGAACGACCCCACAAATTGTAGGAATTGCTATTAAAGAATCTGTTCACAAAATTGGATTATTTGCAGGCGATATAATCCTAGCTGTCAAAAACCCAAAGGAATCTTTGAGACACCTCAAGGATATTTTAACTCAATTTGGTGAGATATCGTACTACAAATTAAAGGAGTCTAAAACTCAAGCCCTCCCGTTTCATTTAAACAATTTGGAAACCATTGCCCTTAAGAAATCATATTTATTTGATTGGAGAACTGAATATATAGAATATCTTGGCATGAATTTATGCAAAAATTTGGTCAATATGCACAACCACAACTTGAGGAAAGCATGGTCAGATTTACAAAAAGGGATGGAGAGATGGGGTGGGATGGAGCTCTCTTGGCTGGGGAAGGGTCGCATCTATTAAGATGACGATACTCCCCAAAATTTTATATTCTTTTTAGGACCATTCCTCTGTCCATTCCATTATCATTTTTTAATAAAGTTCACTCGACAATGTTGAAATATATCTGGGGGAACAAGCCTGCCCGAGTGAGGCTCACTTCCCTGCAGCACCATAAATCGAATGGCGGTATCGGTGTCCCCGATATCCGCAAATATTATTTCGCCACCAACGCTGCAGTGGTTGTGAGCTTTAACAACCAGGATGATAAACCCAGATGGATGGAAACAGAGGAATCAAAAATTTTACCGGTTAGATTATCAGAATTACCTTGGTTAAATCCTCAGAAAAGACCTGGAATTACAAAATAATTTTTATCTACCAAGACTAGGCTTAAGGCCTGTGACATTGTTTTTAAAAATGACCAGTCTCCTAGTTTATATAGAGCAATGCCTATTGAGTTATTGAAAGATTATATACCATCCTTAAAAATAGAATTGTTGAAGGATTGCTCTATAACTAATCTGGAAAAAAAAATTATGGCAATGCTATTCTTTCTTTGGAAAAATTGAAGCTTAAGTATGGATTGTCAAATGTATGTGAACTGGAATGTATGCTAATCATTGACAAATTGAAAGAACTATACCAGGTACCTGAAACAGATAAAAACTATAAATCACTTGAGTTATCTCCTTTAGAGAAAGTTTTTTTTATTCAGCCCCGCTAGTAAAGGTATGATATCCTTATGCTATTTATCTCATAATGCCAAGCCCTTACATAAATTAAAACATATGCGGTCATGGGAGACGGAGTTGGGTGCCCAGTACGATTTAGAAGAATGGTTCTTTTTTTTAAAGGTTTTTGAAAATCATTATAAAATCTTATATCGCTGGTACCCGGCTCCGTCTAGATTACATAACATGAACAATATGTATTCTGACCGGTGTTGGAGAGACTGTGGGGGAGTGGGCAATATGGCCCATATTTGGTGGTTCTGCCCCAAGTTAATTAATTATTGGAAAATGATTCATGATCTAATTATTAAAGTGAACGGAACCATTAGCATCTTAACCTCGGAACTAGTCTTATTTAAAAAACTCCCGGAGTCCGTTAATAGATCAGATAAAATAATCATAGGCCACATTCTGATCGCTGCTACTTCCTGTTTACCTAGACATTGGAAGTCCCAAAATGTGCCATCTCTCAGAGAAGTTTTTAATTTGATTCTAGAAAACAAGGCACACAAATTATCGCATAGAGTTAATATGCATGGTTTCCCAATATTAAAATATAATTGGGATAAATGGGAAGAAAAAAGCAAAACAGTTTATGGTCTTTGATATATTTATTGTTAAAGTGCATTGATGTACAACATTTTTTGCCGTATACTTTATTATGTTTATTTCAATGATGATTGGATACCCCTTCCCATTTCCAAGTTACCCTAACTTTCCTACCCCTAATACAATGTTTGTATTATTATCATTTGTTATAAAAATTTTTTAAAAACTTGAATAAAAAATGATTTGAAAAGAATAATGCCAATTAAACTAAATAAGTATGACTGGTATAGGACTCAGTCCAGTGTTGTTGTGCTCGCGCCTGGGTGTCTGTTCCAATATCAGCCAATATCTGCTACTGCTCGTGGAATGAATGCCACTGCTTTGGAGACATCCCAGGAGCAACTGAGTCCTTCCCCAGGGTCTGTGGTCAATGTGAGGCCCAATTCTCTGAGGAATGCTGCGGCTTCTTCCGCAGAGATGAGTTGGTAGGAGCGCCCCTCCTTGGTAGCCAGCAAGTTGCGTGAGTTCCCCGTTTATAGGAGATGCCTGCAGAACGTAGGATTTCAGTGACCTGCTGCAGTGACCTTCTCCAGGCAAGAGTGGAGCGACATAGGTCTTGTAAGAAGTGGAGCTGCATTTCTTCAAATGGATATGGTGTTTTATTCTTCACCGCCTCCTGGACCGCGAATCTGTCTCGCTGTGTGAGGAAGCGTACAAATACATCCAGAGTGGGCCCGGAGCCCTATTGGATTTGTTAAGTCAGAAGCAACTGTCCAGCTGGATGCTTTTTGCAGCCTGGTGAGGCTGTGAGGTGACGTATAAAGTGCAGTAATTTGTGGTTATCCACCATTTCCGCAATTCCCGTAATCTTGAGGTTATTGTGCCTCCGTGAGTCTTCCAGAGTATCTCATCTGACCTTAACCGCCTTATGTGCTGCCTGTAGTTGGTGGATCAGCTCCTTGCGGTTTTCCAGTTGGTGTGTCATAGTGCAGACTGTTGCTTTAGTTGTTCGCACTCTTGCTGTAACCACTGTGATGTCCTCTCTAAGGGGGGACTCCGGCGGCGCCGCCATTTTGTGTTAGGCCGTGGTTGTAGAGGGCCGCTGATATTGTGAGTGCCGCCAGGATTTTAAGTTTCTTTGCCTTCTTCCCCATGTTGTGGAGCGTCGTGTTGTTTGTGGTCCGATTTCAGGGTGAGTGAATGTCGTAGGTTACCGTCAGTGGCGTACATACCAGGGTCGCAGGGGTCGCGACTGCGACCGGGCCCGGCCCATACCTGCGACCCGGTATGTAAGCCCAGGGCCAGCCTCTTCCCCTGGGGGGCCCAGGAGCCGACCACCCCAGGGCCCCCCTGAGGCTGGCCCCGCTGACCCCGGATGGCCGGCCGGGCAGGCAGGCAGGCAGGCAGGCAGGCAGGCGGGCGCGAGGGAGCACTCAGTGCTTCCTCTTCAGCTCCCTCGCGCACCGCACTGATGCCGGAGCCGGAAGATGACGTCATCTTCCGGCGCCGGCATCCCTACGCGGCGCGCGAGGGAGCTGAAGAGGAAGCACTGAGTGCTCCCTCGCGCGCCCGCCTGCCTGCCCGACCGGCCATCCGCCCAGGAGCCCAGCAGCACCACTGGACCCCAGGGAATCCCCCCAGCACTCCAAAAGGTAAGGAGGCTGGGGGGATTACATTTAAAAAAATTTTTTTAAAATCATGTGTGTGTGAGTGTTAGTGTGTGAGAGTGTTAGTGTGTGTGAGTGTTAGAGTGAGTGTTAGTGTGTCTGCTAGTGAGTGTCAGTGAGTGTGTTACTTTGTGTGTCTTACTGAGTGTGTGTGTGTTAGTGAGTCTGTTTGATGTCTGTTAGTGAGTGTGTGTTTGTCAATGAAAGTGTATGTTTTGTAAGTGAGTGTGTATGTATGTCTGTCGCTGACTGTGTCTCTGTCAGTAAATGTGTGTGTCTGTTAGCTAGTGTGTATGCGTCTGTAAGTGTGTGTGTGTGTGTCTTCAGCACTTACCTTTCTCCAGCGCCGGACTCCCTTGGCGCTGGGGATCCCTCAGCCTCTCAGCTCCGAATGCGACCGCGCACACATTCAAACCGCCCATAGGAAAACATTACTCAATGCTTTCCTATGGACGTTCAGTGTGCTCCTCTAGCTGCTGTCAGTGAGACAGCCACTAGAGGCTGGATTAACCCTCAGTGAAACATAGCAGTTTCTCTGAAACTGCTATGTTTTCAGCTGCAGGGTTAAAACTAGAGGGACCTGACACCCAGACAACTTCATTGAGCTGATGTGATCTGGGTGTCTGTAGTGGTCCTTTAAGTGTGTGTGCATGCATGCACTGGCGTACATACCGCGGTCGCAGGGGTCGCAGCCCTGTAACCCCTGCGACCAGGTGCCCACCGCCATGTGTTTCGGCCCGGCCCGCGCGTGGGGGGGGCCCACGGATCAATTTTCGCACCGGGGCCCCATGGGTCATGTGTACGCCACTGGTTACCGTTATATGATGCTGGGATCGGGAGCCCAGCCGCCATGTGTCTGCTTCCTCCGAAATCTCAGCCACGCTCCCCCCCCCTTAAAACTATTTTAGTATAATAATCTTTTCTCAAGCATTGAAAGGAAAATAGTGATACAATAGTCACCAGAACAACTACAGCTTATTGTGTTTGTTCTGTTAAGTATAGTCAGTCCCTGAGAACTTTTTGCAGGAAACACGTTCTTTCCAGAGAAAATGTAGTGTTTACATTACAGCCTAGGGATACCTCCACTGGCCACTCCTCAGACAGCTAAAAGAGGTGCTCCCTGGGGCAGTGCTGCACAGTATAACTGACATTGTGTCTCCACCTTCTGCATGGAGAAAGGGAACTTTCTTCAGCATCAGGAGATACCGATTGATCAGTGCAGCGTTTGGCTCTGCCCCCGGCCCGTCATCAGAATCAATCTCAACCAATCCAATGCTTTCCTATGTGAAAGAATTGTGATTGGTTCAGAACCCCACTGTCAGCCAATTAGGCAGATCAGGGGTAGAGCCAGCACCAGAAGACTGAAATAAATGTAAGATTTTACTATTTTTAGGGGGGGCATGGTGGGCTAACTATAGGTTTAGGAATACATGTTTGTGTTCCTGACCATATAGTGGTCCTTTAAGTATATTCAAAAATAAAAAAGATAGAAAGACACTTACCTACCTTTAGTATATGACAGAATCCTTCAGCCCCATGGGTCAGCCATGTTCTGTGCAGGGAGAGTAGCAGGAAAGACCATAGAGACTGTCAGTTTTTAAACACTGTCTGACCCAAGGTGTATGTATACGGCTGCAGGATCCTGGTATTTACTAAATGTAGGGATATTTTTTCTCATTTTTTATATATTTAATTTATTAAAAATTGATTTCCTTTCAAAACTCGATCAAAGGATTACCATAGTAAAAAAATAATAATTTTGAGGTATCCGTTGTCCTCTATTCACCTATGAAACGTGTGTTTATTCTTTACATGCCAAGGAAGTGAATTGAAATTGCTAAATTTTAGCTTAAATAATGTAGTGATTATAGCCAAGTCTGAGAATGTTTCCAAAGACTATTCCCCTGAATTGTACCTTGCATCCTTAAATATGGCTCTACATTGCCACCTACTGGGCAAAATATCCTAGAACAGTACTATTAAAAAATATTTATAAAATATTTTGCCAGGAAAGACACATTGAGATTTCTCTTGTTTTTAAGTATGTCCTGGGTCCACAAACATTGCATTGTTACAATAGGATACAATATTACAAAAATATAATTTTATATATATATATATATATATATATATAAATGTAACACATAACAGGGAATACATATATTTAACCATGGCAGGTGCATTCCATTGAGGTGTGTTTCCATAGATCTCCTAAAAGATTTTAGATTGAATGGAGAGTTGACTGTCCCTGAGATTATTCCATAATTGCGGTGCCCTGTAGGAAAATGAGGATCGAGCCACTTTATTTTTGCATAGCTGTATGCTAAATATCGTGCTAGTACTGGATCGGAGGTTATAGGAGGTGGGAACAGCTAGGAGAGCATTCTATTCAGGTAGGGTTTAGAGATTCCCAGAAATGCTCTTATGCACAAGGCTGGAAATATGAAAAGTGCGTCAGGATTCCAGCAACAGCCAGTTTAGCTCTTTTAACATGTCACAGTGGCCGGTAAAGTAATTACATTCTAGTACAAAGTGGCAGAACGAATTATAGAACGTATTAAGTTTATTAAGGTGGGTTTGCGGTGCGGGTGCATACACTACATCCCCATAATGATTCACGACTGCTGTCCATCCCTTCCCTCTCCTGTCCTTCACTGGCCATCTCCGCATATAACACTACCCTTACATCTGCCTTGAACGCTGCAGCACCTCTCCAAACAAGCACCTCAAGGAGGACCCGCCCCCAACCATGGCATACTAAATCAACACGCTACCTGCAAAGATGCTCCCGTTGTGCCGAACGCTCCTGGAGGAAGTCTCGCACCCAGTCAGACTTTCTCCATTAGAGATTCATATTGTGTTCATACAGTGCAGCCCTTGTCCTCTCCAAACAGTCCTACTTTTCCTCTTTCATTAGTTCTTGCTCCCACAATCCCAGGCGTCTCTTTGACACCTTTAATTCTCTTCTTCGCCCTGCTGTGGCCACCCCCCAAACTAACCTTACTGCTGACAACTTTGCATGTTACTTTACTGACAAGATTGAACAACTAAGGAAAGAATTCTCCCCTCCGTGCCATTCTGTTTCTCAACCACACATAGATCATGCCTTTCCTAACCTTCAGACATTCTCTCCAGCTACTGACCAAGAGGTAGCTGCTCTTCTCTGTTCCTCTCGCACCACCACTTGCCCACTCGATCCTGTCCCATCTCACCTTATTAGATCTCTCTCCACTTGTCTCGTGCCTTCCTTAACACACATCTTCAACTGCTCTCTCTCTTCTAGCATTGTCCCTGCTGACCTTAAACATGCCACTGTAGTACCTATACTAAAAAAACCATCCCTCAACCTGTCCACCCCCTCTATCGTCCCATATCCCTGCTCCCTTTTTCCTCAAAGCTTCTGGAAAGACTTGTCTTTACCCGTGTGCCCTTTTTCCTCAATTCCAACTCTCTCCTTGACCCTCTTCAATCTAGCTTCCACCCTCTCCACTCTACTGAGACTGCACTTATCAAAGTTACTAACGACCTAATCGCAGCTAAATCCAAAGGCCACTACTCCATACTAATTCTTCTTGACCCCTCTGACACCGTTGATCATGCTCTCCTTCTTCAAACTCTTCAATCACTTGGTCTCTGTGGCTCTGTCCTCTCGTGGTTTTCCTCTTATCTCTCCCAATGCTCATTCAGTGTCTATTTTTCTAATGATACCTCCTCCCCTCGCCCTGTCTCGGTTGGAGTCCCCCAAGGCTCTGTCCTTGGTCCCCTTCTATTTTCTCTTTATACTGCCTCTCTTGGCAAACGTATTACCTACGTATTATTTTGGATTCCCATTACCACCTGTACGCTGATAACACCCAGATATATCTCATCCCCGGACCTCTCCCGTCGTCCTGCAACGCATCACTGCTTGCCTTTCTTCCATCTCTGACTGGATGTCCTCCAGCTTTCTGAAACTCAATCTCTCTAAAGCTGAGCTCCTGGTCTTTCCTCCTCCTAGTACTGATCCTCCTCTTTCACTCTCCCTTCAAGTTTGTGGTACCCACATCAGTCCATCCTTGCAAGCGCGCTGTCTTGGCGTCATACTTGATTCTAGCCTCACCTTTGAGCCTCACATCCAGCATGTTGCCAAATCCTGTAGATTCCATCTTAAAAACATAGCCCGCATCTGCCCCTTTCTTGCACCAGATACTACAAAGGAGCTTGTCCATACTCTAGTGAATTTCCCGCATTGATTATTGTAACCCTCTCCTGAGGTCTTCCCAAAAGCCATACTGCACCGCTACAGTCCGTAATGAACGCTGCTGCCAGACTGATTTTCCTCTCTAGTCGTTTCTCTCACACCTCACCCCTCTGCCAGTCCTTACATTTGCTTCCTGTATACTATAGGAGTCAATTCAATGTACTAATTCACACCTATGAAGCACTGAACAATTCTAGCCCCTCTTATATCTCCTCACGGATCCATAGGTATGTCCCTTCTCTGTCTTTCCGCTCTGCCGGTGACCACCTCCTGTCCGTTGTCCGCACCCGTCCGGCCAACTCACGCTTGCAGGACTTCTCGCGGGCGGCTCCCTTCCTATGGAATAGCCTGCCTACCGCCATCAGACTCTCCCCTAGTCTTGCATCTTTTAAGAAGTGCCTTAAAACCCATTTCTTTAGGAAAGCTTATGGCCTCCAAGACTAACCTCTACCTCACATACCTGCCTCTTGCTCTCTCCTAAAGGGCAGACCACCTTATTTGACTGCAAATTCCTGTCCTAATGTGTTTTATACCCCACCTCCTATAGAATGTAAGCTCGATTGAGCAGGGTCCTCTTCAACCTATTGTTCCCGTAAGTTTATTTGTAACTGTCTTATTTATAGTTAAATCCCCTCTCATAATATTGTAAAGCGCTACGGAATCTGTTGGCGCTATATAAATGTCGATAATAATAATAATGACCAGCATTAGCATTTGTTGCACTGTTTCCTTACTGCAGGATTTGTTTCTGTACAGGGCACCTAGTTTTGGGTAAAGATCTGAAGAGATTTTTTCAATGTGAAGGCCAAAGGATAGATTGGGGTCTAGCAACATACCAAGATATCTAAAAGAGCAGACTGCTGTCAGTGTGCTATTTGAATTTGTTCTGATACACAGTTGTTGATTTTGTAGTTTATGTTCTTTAGGCACAGTTCCAAAGATCATTGTAACGGTTTTGTCAGTGTTTAGGAAGAGTTTGTTATTCGCTATCCACTTTTCCAATCCTGATGTTATTTTTAACTGCTCGTGAATGCCTGACTTGAGCAGATCACAGTACATGCCATTCATCAAGTAGGGGCCCAGGCAGGGAAGGACAAGGACATGGACAGGGAGACAGAGACCAAGACAAAGGGAAACTAATGTTTGGAAAACTGCCTGAAAGACAATAAATTAGAATATAGAGCAAAACTGGGTAATATCTTCACAAGTACAGGCAACACCTGACGCATGAACACAAACACAGCGTACACTAGATAATTATTGCAGTTTAGAAATTCAGGAAAAGCATCAACAAGTTTTAAGCTAAGTTTTAATCCAACGCCAGTGTGATATCCCACGCGGTTTAACATGACTGATGGCAGCAAATAGTCCAGAGACACAAAGTGAAACACTCTGAGCCTTCAGAAAGAAACCTTATAAGATAAAATAGTTATTATGTCTTAGCAAAAACCTTGGAATGGGACTTCAAACAGGGGGGGGACCAACAACCTATAAATGTAACCACAATAATAAACATGACCAACGCACTTTACTACACGAAGTTTGAGAAACCCACGGAGCAGTAATGGAGAAATTACAGGATTTATTTTATAATTATTTTCATATTTGTAACAATAAAAAGAGAAATAAACAACAAATGTATCAACAAATGTACCCTCATCAGAATCCGTAATGATATAAAGTGTAGCATAACTTTCATTTATGATCACTTTAAAAAAAAAAAAAAGTTTTAAATTGAGATCGAAAATAATGTAAAAAATCCAACTGACACCCACATCCACAATGTCAGCAGCCACAGAAACATTTATTCACCAATACAAAAATAGATCAGGTTTTGTAATGTGTATCTACATTTTTGGTACGCAGCGTATACAATTCATCAGGCGAAAAATATATTTCATGATTAAATGCTTAAATATAAAACATTGTAAGGTTTCTAAATTTTAAAATTCTAAACATATATTTGTATAAATAAAAAAGTATAATAAATACTTAGCAGCATGTGAAGTTCCCTATTTAACAAGAGGAGTGGTTTAATCATTTTATTTTCTATATCTAGCAGGTTTTTAGACGCAGCCCAATATTAAATGGTCCCTACATGAAAGCAGACTTTGTAACAGCATTGGGTAAACTTGTATTTTCTAGGTCTGTTAAAAAATAGAAATTTGAATTTTCCATTATTTATTTTGGAAAGTAAGATATTAAAGAGAATACTATTTTTATAATAGTTTTTTTTTTTCTTCTAAGTCACTAAATTAGTGCAAGTTATAGAAGAAATTAAAGAACGTATGAATTAGTCAAACATTACGGAGGCTATGTAGAAAAAGTCTGCATTCTACCTGTATAATACATTGGACCCTTTTTTCGCCTTTTCTGTAATGTGCTAAAGGCCTACGATAATTGCCAGGAATACAAAGCTGTATTACTGGTACAATAGCTCCCTCTGCCTCTCCCGCCTCGGTAACTAAAGGGTTAAAATTATTTTATTTATTTACCTGATCCCAGTGCCAATGTCCCTCCGCCTCCTCTGATGTCCCGCGACGAGCGAACACTAATGCACATGCACAGCAAATGCCGCATGGACATTACACCTCCCCATAGGAAATCATTGAATCTATGGGGAAAAAAATGCATTTAACTTTTTTTTTATTTATTATTATTATTTATTTTAAAATCGGACGCTGGATGTCCTCATGCAGAGGACCAAGGTCCATTAGGATTTAGGAAGCCCTCTAGTGGCTGTCTGCGAGACTGCAACTGGAGGCAGACTTAGTGCTGCAATGTAAACATTGTAGTTTTTCTGGAACTGCAATATTTAACCCTGCAGTACTAAGGGCAATAGGGACAGTGCATCCAGACTACTTCAATGAGCTATAGTTTCCCTTTAAGTAATCCATCTTTCTGACACTTGCTTCCTCATTTAGATTTTTCATAAAATAAAGACAAAAATAGTAAAATCACTGGGACAAAAATGTGTACTTACAATTTAGAGTATTATATATATATATATATATATATATATATATTATATACACAAACACAGTGGAAAAAAACATTGTCAGAAAGAGAAGGCGCACTTTTGCACCTCTTTTTTTTTTTATACATTAGAAGAAAACGGCTTCCTGTAGTCACTTTAACCACGGTAAACATATTACACATTTGGGAAAAAAACATTTTACAAAAATAGGCATTGGATCAGACCTGCTATAAATAAAACACATTCACATAAAATATGTACATACACACACACACACACACACACACCATACAATCCATTTCTACAACATACTAGAAATGTCAAGTTCAAACATCCATAACTCAGTTTGCATTGTTACTCCATAATAACATAAATCAAATAGACGCATGCCACCTAAATCATCATGACATGTTCAACCATGAACAATAATCGTCCAATCTTTACCCCTCCATATGTTGCTTGATATACAAGTTAACTTGATGAATAATTGGCTACAGAAGAATATTCCAATCTGTTCCTCTCAAAGTTTAAAGGATTTGTGGATAAGTCTTTTTTGAAAGACATTAAAACCAAAACAGTGGCTTCCAGGTGAAAGTAATGAGCCATTTTCTTCTGTGGTTTAAAAAACATTGGAGGCGAGTAGGTCCGGGGAGGAAGAGCTGAGATGGAGTGTATACTGTATAACTCTAAACTCAAAGTAATTATTGTGTATGTGCTTCTTAGCAGCAAATCTCCAGTTAGGAATAAAATCTACACCGATTTGTGAAAGCCCCATGCGGTTAGATAACCAAGTCCAACAAGTCTTCTAACAAAGAAGTTAACAACGATCAAACGGATACCGAGTTATACATATCAAACCTCTTATATGCAATGGAATTCTTTGTGATTTTATAATAAGCTTCTTTTTTTTTAACTCAGTAAATAAGATCACATTAAAACGGAAATAAATCCAAGACTGGGTCAAAATGTGCAAGTATTGGCCTTTGGTCAGAACAGGTCACTGACAGATGGATGTCCCACATAACACTTTTTGCAGAGACCTATGTATAATCCTTGGACAGGAAGTGGAGTATCTCCATGATTTGATTACCAAGAGCTGATCTGTTAATAAAACCTCCTTTCACGTATGCAATTCCACATCTTCCGACTGTAACACAAGACTGAACCAACGTTGGGTCCAGAAAACAGTTTCTCATGGCACGGAGAATGGGACAAATTATGTTCCAAATAAAGATCTCTGTCCATTTATTCCACCTTCCAAATTGCCACCTTTCCGTCTTCTTTACCAGATCCACTTAAAACATATCTGTCCTCCGCAGAACACAAGGATTTTACAACGTCTGCATGTGCAACCAGTTCCTTGGCCACGTTTCGGGTTTCCACATTGATAACATAAATCTTCCCTTTAATTTTACCCTGCGCTATTCCTTTAGTGCCAACCCATATCTAGAAAG